AAAAAAAAAAAAAAAAAAGAGAATTGATTATTTAACTCTTTAATTAATAGTTCAAGATCAAATTGCCCACTTGTCCAATGTCAACTCATCTAGCCATCACTTGCCACTTTATATCAATGGTTAACATCTTTGCATAACTCTTTCTTTGATGGTTTCATTAAAGGTTCTTGGTTCTCCTTTGTTTTTACTTGCTCTTTCCATATCAATGGTTAAAAGACCCCTCCTGACTCCTAAATCCTAATAATATGAACAAGACCTCTCCAGTCTCTCAAATGATATTACAATAATTTCATTAATGAAATTAGTCCCAAATACCCCAAGACCAAACAACCCCACGTACTGTCTGTTACTTTATCAGGCCACCAAATTATGTTCACGTGTTTCAGTCCATATCTTCCTAATTCTAACTCCAACACATCAACCAAGTACTTCATTTTTGTAAAACTTAAGCTTCATAATTTCTGTCTATAATTGGGAACCAAACCAACCAAGTATAAACATTTAACACATGGCTGCAACTCAAAACCAAAGATCATAACTCCAGCAAACAAATAACTTAAAAAAAGCCTCTGGAATCTGAACATTTTAAGGCATGAAAGTTTTGTGGAGAAATAGCATCAGATGTTGTTCAGTCTTACATAACCCATTAAAACCAACTTCTAAGTTGAAGCAAGGAAGAGGAGAGTAATTTTGAACACATTAACAAATATGTTAATCCATATCCATAGTTATAATAAAGGAAATACCCTTTTTTGTCTGCGCTTTTTATTTGACTACTTTATCCTTTAATTACTATCTAAACTATCCATTACTTTATTTTTTTAACTACTCTCTAAACTACCCACTATTCTTTTTCAGACTCTCATGTCAAATTTAATAATTTAAAAAAAAAATTAAATTTAAAAAAAATTGGACAGACAAGCAGGTAATGCCTGTCTTTCCACTAGTTATTATAATAATAAATAAATAAAAATTAAAACAGAGGGAGAAACCACCTTACAGCCTATCTCCAACCAAAAGTGAAGCAAAATATTTTCAGTGTTGTATTATTACATGTCCCAAGAAAGGTAGATGAAACAGTTTTTAGAAACCCTAAAACTGCCTAATGGGGAATATTCATTTAAGCACAGCCACTAACATAATAATAATAATAATAATAATTCGAATTTCAAAATTCCAAATGCATAACCAGTCTATGAAGAGAAAATATAAGAACTAACTAACAGGAATAATAAAAAAAATCAGAATCCTTTAATGTAGAAATTAGCATACATGATTTGCTGGCGCCAGCATTAACGATCTGGTTTGCGACTAGGACTGGTGTAGAGCACTCCAGAAAAGCATGCTCACCTGAAACAATAATAATACAATTAGAGAAAGTGCCAATGCAATGAAAGTTTAACAAGCTTTTACACATTCATTCAATCACAAATTGTTATAAACCCTCACCTCACAAGTCGATTTTATAGGATTGAATTAGGTCAAAACTCACTTTCTAAGATGGTATCCGAGTTATCCTAAACCCATTCTATAAAAGGCCACTCACCATCGATACACTCACAAAGCCTAATAATATTGGATGTGAGAGGGTGTATTAAGCAAAATCCAAGTCCCGCTTATCCTAGATCATTAAAAAGGACTACTCACCTTTATTCCCGTACCAAGTCCAATAATGTTAGATATGAAAGGATGTATTAGAAAAAACCCAAGTCTCATATCAACTAGAGATAAAATAATTAAAGAATATATAAGTGAAGAACAACTCTCACCTTACAAATGGAATTTGTAAAGTTGAGTTAGAAATAAGTTTGCAAACTTTAACATCAACTAGCTCAAAACAAAAGTCATACCTATGCAATGAAAGTTTAAAGAGCTTTTACACCGTCATTCAATCACAAATTACTAAGTACGATAAGTCTGTTAAGTTTTACATCAACCAGCTCAAAACAAAAGTCTTGCCTATGCAATGACAGATTAAAGAACTTTTATACCGTCATTCATTCAATCACAAATCGTTATGCACGCTGTAAGAACTTTTACACAAAGTGAATAAAAATCAAACTCATACAATTAAAGCAAAACAACAACTCAACTCAAACAACTAAAATTCTAATATGATTGTTGATCTAGCAACCAAGCAACCAACCTCTCCTTTGTTTCGAGCCAGGCAAAGGCTTCTGTGTGGCAAACCACTGAGTGTCCAATTTCTCAATGCCCTTGATCTCAAAACTGAGTCTTTCCATCAAAAACGAGTACCCACTTGAGGGATTAGAGATCTGGATGGTGACGACAACAGGATCACCGGGCCTGTAAACCAGTTTATCCGTTTCGAGCTTCAGAGTGGGGGGAGACAGTTCTTCACCCTTTGGCGCTGAATTGGACACGTGCGAATCCCCACCTCCGAAAAACGAGAATCTACTCGGTAGCATTGTGGTTTTGCTTATTTGGGTGAGGGAATGGAGGAATTGGAAGGGGAAATCGGAGGAATTGGAAGGGGAAATCGGAGGAATTGGAAGAAGGGTCTCACCAGCAATGATCACAGCTGCATGTAGGGTGTGCTTCTCACACGGGATCTGATCTGAGTCGCAGAGAAATCGACTCTCGACTATGAGCTACAATATTCCATGTTTAATAAATTCAAATTTCAAGAAATAAAAACAAACAAAAACATGGGTATTTGTTCTTTTATTGTTTTTGTTCTATTTATGCAATTATCTCCCTTATTTATATTATATATTTATAATCCAAGATAGTTTATTTTGGTGTCTATATATTTTCTTATCTTTTTTATTTTTTAATTAATATGTTTAATTATTTTTTACTTTTTAATTAATTTATTTAAGTGTTTTATTATTTTAAATTTAATTGTATATTTTAAATTTGATCATTTTTATTTTTTTTATAACAAGGTATAGAGTGTCTTATTTTCACTTGTATCTATAGAGAGGATCAATGATGAAATTCTTTAGTGATGATATATCAAAAAATATATATATCTTGTTGATATAATTAGTTATAATTTATTCATTTAAGTCATCATCAATCATATATAGTTACACATACCTACAATCTTTGGATCTCTTCTTATTTCATTGTATCATGGGTGTTACGGTTAACATATGTCAAAAAAAAATACACAAAATTTTTCATTCAAATTACTTATATATTATCGCTTATGATAAAGTGTTATATAAATAATTTTAAGAACAAAAATATTGAAGGAGTAAAATAAGAATAAATTTTTTTTAGAAACTAAAACCAAAATTTTCAAAAATTTTAGAAGGATCAAAACTATATTTTACCATTTTATGAATGTAATATATAAAAAAAAAATATATAATTATAACACAATTACACATAAAGCTGTCAAAATGGGTTTTGGCCCGTGAGCCAACCCAGTCCACCACAAGTTCAAGTCGGGTTGGGCTAAAATAAAATTCAAATTTTAATATGAGCTAATTTTGGACCTGGCCCACCTAGATTAAACCTATGGTCGTGATAAAAAAAAATATAACCGTGACCCAGTTTTTCATTTCACTTTCGGCCTAAAATTTGATAGATTATCCTAAACCCAAGATGACTTTCTTACCATCATTTTTCAGTGGCTGGTGATAAACACACCTCCACTCTCGTATAAACATACCCCCTTTTTTTAAAAAAAAATATATAAAATGTCTAAATTACCCTTTAAAAAAATAAAATTCCTAAATTTACACCCCCTTCCCCGCACCCCCGTTCCCCGCACCCCACACCCCACACCCCTCTTCTTCCCAAAGCCTCTTTCTGCTCAATGTCATCAAGCAACTTTCAAGAGTAATATGAATATACTTTTACAGTCATTCTGAATAGAAAAAAATGACTAGCCCTACCATAACCAGCATAAGAAAGGCTCTTTGCCGGTGAAGTACTTTCCATAATATTCAATTCTGTAGCTTCCGAAAACTTTGTTATATAGTTCCGGAAAGTACTTTCCATAATACAAAAGTTACTGTTACGGAAAGTTCTTTCCGGAATTATATAAAAATGTTCCGGAAAATACTTTCCATAATATTAAATTCTTATTCCGGAAAGTATTTTCCGAAAATGTTTTGTTACATAATTCCGGAAAGTACTTTCCATAATATTAAAGTTACTATTACGGAAAGTTCTTTCTGGAATTATATGAACAATAATTTTACTATTCCGGAAAGTACTTTCCGGAATGCTAAAAAACTTATTTTACAAGCGCATGACACATTTAACTTACCAGTTTCTTTATCTCTTCATCCACCACCGGCGTCTGCGATCGAACCTGTTGTGCATAAGTAATGTTAAATAAGTTTAAAAAAATTGTAAATATGAAATGTAATTTAATATATTAATTTTGTACCTTGTATTGAATGTAGAGGATAATGATGATTGAATGAAAAATTAGGATTTAAGAAAGAATAGAGTGCAAAGTGAAAAATAGAATTTAAAAGATAGAAAGATAAAATATGATTATGTTAATCGTAAAAGAAGAAAAACCAAGAATGAAAAATGAAAAAGAATAAAAATGACTTTTAAAATCAGGGTTTTAAAATCAGTCATAAGGTAGCCATTTTAAAAGTGACGCGGTGGCCTGAACTGCAACAGAACGACCCCAGAACGGCCCGTTCTGCAATCAGAACGGCCTGTATTGCTTGCAGAACGGGCTGTTCTGTTTTCAGAACGCCTCGCACTGCATCAGAACGGGCCGTACTCCAAGCAGAACGGGTCGTTCTGCTTGCGGTACGGGCCATTCTACTTGTAGTACGGGCCATTATGCTGTAGTGCGGCCCGTTCTGGTGCCGTTGCGGAAAGAAACTTTGCGAAGAAGAGGGGTGCGGGAAAGGGGAGTGCGGGGAACGGGGGTGCGGGGAACGGGGGTGTAAATTTAGGAATTTCATTTTTCTTAAAGGGTAATTTAGACATTTTTTATATTTTTTTTTTAAAAAGGGGGTGTGCTTATACGAGAGTGGAGGTGTATTTATCATCTGCCTTTTTCAGTTTTCACTTTTAGAGTTTCAGCCCCACACGACCTCACCTCACCATGGTGCAACCAAACCCTAAACCCACCATGCTCACCCTCACTGTGCTTAGAGTTTTAGACTTTCAGCGACCGTCACACTCACAGCCTCACGCCCTCACCCACCACCACCGATCACCATAGCCACGCCACCGCTTGCAAGGTCGTGTCTCACCATGCACGCCACAGCGAACCACCACGCATGTCACCTCCCCAGGCCACCTCGCACCGCTTGCACCACGCACCACCCAGGGCACCTCATAGTCTCACACCATCCTGGGGCACCTCGTAGTCTCAGACTGTACACCATCTACGAAGATGAAAAAAATTACATTTTTTTTAAATTAGGTGAGCCAACTTATTTAACCCACCAACTCATAGTGGGCCAGATCAGATTCAATTTTTTTGAGTTCACTAATAAATGAGTCGAGTTGAGTTGGCTCACCAAATGATCAACTTGTGGTAGGTTAAACTGAACCGAACCGGGTGGCTCATTTTGACAACTCTAATTATACATATATTTTTAAAACTTTTAGACTCCTCTTAAACATCACTCCTAGATGTTGCATCTCCAAACACAACTCTCAAGACTAGCTCTAATTAAAGGATTAGAATATTTATCAAATATGACATACCTTGTTATAATTAGGATTGTGCAAAATTAACTAAATTAAACTAAACTATTAAATAACTGAATTATTTTAAACTAAAAAAACTAAAACTATTTAAAATAAAACTGAATTAAACTATTTGCTAGTTCAGTTTTAAAATTTTTTTTGAACTTATTAAGTAAAAGCACGACACGACACAGGGTTTCAATTTGTAAATGCGGAACCAAGGGTTCCTGATTATATGCAGCCACGAGTTTTAATAAACTGAACTTATATGCAAAAATTGCAACTTGCATTTCACAAGGCTCTTCACACACCAACCACGACATGGGTTCCTGATTCACCACTCCTTCCTCACTCACCAACCAGGCAACCACAGATTCCTCCTTCCTTAAGCACCAATACAGTTTAATTCATACTATAGTTCAATATAGTTTAGTGCAGCACAGTTTGATAGAATAAAAGAAAAAGTTCAGTTCAGTTTGTCTGATCTAATTTTTAGTTTAGTTCATTTTAATTAAACTATTTTTCAGTTTAATATAATTTTTAATAGTTCAGTTTAGTACAATTTAATTTGCCCACCCCTAATTATAATAAACACAACAATTAACATTTAAATAAATTTTTATTTTTACAAATCTTAATTTACATAAAACACTGTGTAGACTAGTCTAAATTTAGATATGCATGTCAAACTCTAATTTTTAATGCATTCATTTATATGTAATATCATATGATCATAACATTTAAAAATTAAAAACTTAAAGTTTATTTCAAACAATTATTTAACGAGTGTTCCTCTTTACGCTATTATTTATCTTAATTTATAACATATAAAGACGGTAACTTTTTTTTACACAAATTTTAAATTATTTTATCCTTATAATTACTTTTAAATTACTTTCTTTAACAATCTATCGAATATATATTATATAATATGAAACTCATTATTTTCGTTTTATTATTTTTCAAATAATAAAGATATGTAATACCTCCCCAGTAATATTTTATAAATATAAATAATAATAAAAATAACGTGTTAATGTGGGAGCGTACTTGTAAACGAGAAAAAAAAATGCATAATAAATTGTCTTTGTATTCATTGATTGGTGTTTTTTTTTTTTCAGCATTTGTTAGTGTTGTTACTCCGTTTTATCACTGCAATCCTTTTCGATCTAACCCCCGCGTGTAAAGTTATCCAACCAGACTTGTATAATAAGAAAGAACTTAAAAATGAATCACAATTTTCATTGGATCATGTACACAAATTAGAAAATATTAAGAGCATGAGCATCGAACAAATCAAATAATTTTTTTTAACAAATAATCAAATAATATTTTATAAATATCCACTGTGAACGTTTTCTATTGGCGTAATTTTGGGGGGAAATAATAAAGAGAGACCCACCTTCCGAACTTTCGCTTCTCCCGTTACCCGTATTATAAGCTAAAATTATAAAATAGAAAAAGGTCAAATAATTACATACACCCCTTTTTTAAAAAGAAAAAAACGTCATATTTTGTTTTATATAGACATTTGTTTTGTAAAATATATAGAAGCATTTATAATATATAATCTAGAATACCTCTTGAAAAATGATAAAAGTGATCGATAAGTTTTAAAAGAATTTTTTTTTATATTTAAATCCCTAAATTTTAATTTTATTGTGTAAGTTAGTTCTTGTGTGTTTATATTCAGTTACTAATTATGATAGTTTTGTAAACAATAATAATTAATTTTCACATTAACACACATTCTTTCTCCCAATTGACACACAATAGTTATAAACTAAATAGATTTAGACATGTGACAAGATAATGTTTAATTTTTAATCTAATTTAAAAATAATTAAAGTGATGTTTGAATGACTTTTTTCTTTACACTTACTCACATTACTACTAAGCTTTTTCTCACTTCTACTAGAGGAGTTATGTGATTTATTAAACATAGTAGAAACATTAATATTCAATTGATGCATCATTGTGTAACGACCTAGAGG